TTTGGGGACGAAGGAGCCAGTGAGGCCCTGGCTCCCAGGGGTCAGGCTTCCAAAGGGACAGAGGCAGGGGGACGCTGCAGCTGGGTGCCTGATTGTGACGAGGGCTCTGATCCTGATGAGCCATTTGGGGCAATTACCTGAGGGCTCTACGGGTCCGGCTAACCCAGTTGTGACCCCAGGGTGACTCGGAGCTTTTGAAAATCTCCCCAGGCACCTAAAGACAGCTTTTAATATCGGGCCCTAAATCCCCAACTCCCTTGTCGTCCTAAGTGAATTAGCCTACCTAGCACCTTTTACACATTGCACTGTCTGCTAACGGTACCTAAATACCTTTGCTCATCTGTCTCCAAATCCCCTAGGTAGCTTTGAAAATGTCACCCTCAGTGTGTCCCTTCCTCAGGCTCCTTTGAAAATACCGGTCTTGTTTGCGAGCTTGGGGCTTCACCCGTGTTTGAAATTCTTGGCCTGGCTTCACAGGAGCTGAAGCTGTGGTGAGTCTCCGCTCCCATTTTCTTGGAACAGTCTCGAAAGGAATCACGTGGCCGCACGCACCCTCCGAACTCTGCACCGTGAGAAAGGGAGAGGGAGTTTTTGTCATGGCGTGTAGCACTGTGTTGGGGTGGGGTACAGCCACGGTGATACAAATGCCATAGGGCACTGTACAAAAACCTGCGGGTGCAAAAGAAGCCATTTTTTCAGGGGAAAAGCCTGGGCACCTGAGATTTCAGAGGAAGCAATGAAAGGATTGTTTATTCCTTTCCTCCCTGTCTCCGGGGAACCCCAAAGAAACGTTGGAGCAGCAGCCTGCGAGCTGGAAAGACAGGCCAGGTCTGAGGCCCCTGCTGGAATCAAGTCTTTGAATCGTCCAACCACGGACGGATTTCTTCCACTCTCTGGCGGAGCTAGGCCACCGCAGGGACTGGCCTGCTTTGGGAACGGGTCTTGTAAGGACAAAGTGCAGGTTTAGTCCCGTCTTTGCCTGTCTGCGGGGCTCCTGTGGAGACGTATTCTTCAGCCGGCTGCAAACACTGTGCAGATAAACTCATCTTCGGAGCAGGGACGACGCTGACAGTGGAGCCAGGTAAGCACCAAGCCTTGTCTGGTTCAAATGGCACTAGAAGTGGGGGGAGGTTGCCAGGGGGGTCCACAGGGAAATTATTTGCCTCTCTGGGGTTTCTTGCCCGCTGAGGCTCCCGGTTCGAGCAGCCCCTCGCTCCGCTACACCTAATGGTCCAGCCGCCCCAGGGGTGGGGTTCAGCATCGCTCCCTTGGAGCCCAAGGGCCGGCTCCTTTGTGGTGTAAGCGGGATGTTGCTTTACGGGGGTCAGTCCCGAGCTGGTGCCTAGCTGCAAACCTGCAGGAGCGGCCGTGGTCTAGCTTGTATCTATCGGCGTCGTGCTGCTGTGGTCCGCGGTGTTTCACCGAGCTCCGGTAGCTCCGGATCTGGCCCTCTGACCCAGATTTGGTGGGGAAAAGGGCCCCAGTGCCACTAAGCACCCCTGGATTTGCGCCGTTTGGCATCCATTCCCAACGTGGGTCCCAGGCCTCAGGGCCGGGGCTGGCGAGAGGTTTTGTGACGGCTGCCTGACTCTGTGGACTACGAGAAACTGATTTTCGGCAGCGGCACCCAAGTGACGGTGGAGCCAAGTAAGTAATTTCCCGCAAAGAGAAGCAGGCGCGAGTTCCGAGGGCCTGAAATTTCGGCTTCAGCGTCTCAGGCTGAAGTTCTCCAAACAGCCTAAACCATTGGGGTGCCCGGGGGCCTTCGGAGGGAGCGGGAGCTGGAGGGCCCTGTCACCGGACGATGGGGAAGGTGGGGCCGGGACGTGTCGCTTTGGGTAGAAAAAGGATGAGGCTGTTCAGAGAGGGTTGAAATAGGGGGTGGATTGATGGAACTCGTCTCTACTTGGTCCTGGGATCTCGTCGCCTGGAAGTTGGGTGAGAATTGAAGGAATTTGGGTAGGAGGTGGCTGTTGGTTTGCAAAGTGGGGCTGTAACTCAAGGGAGCAGTGCTGGGGGGGCTTGGGGATCAGTTCACGAAATTGCAGACTCCCCCGGACACGGACAAGAACGCGTAAGTTTTTGTAGGGCCGGGTTGAAGTGTGTTTATACCCTGCCCTTGATCTTCGGGGCAGGCACCGAGCTGCGAGTCGAAGCAGGTAAGTGTTTCCCGAGTGGGTGCTTTGTGCAAGGGAGCGGCGGGAGGTTCCGATGGCGAACGCTGAAAGACCCAGCTCTGACCAGAACTGACAGCCGAGCCGCCCTCGGGAGAGCTGAGGTCCAGTGTCAGGCGGCCCCAGGCTCAGACGGCCAAGGCCTTATGTGCCCTCTTCCCTTTGAAATCCTGGGGACGCTTACGGACCCTCAGTCCCATAGGGCTCATAGAGGGATTCAGGTCCTGCTTTTCAACCGTAGTTAGGTGACTGGCTAATTGCGTCCTTAAAACCCCAACTCCCAGCCACTGGGCTGTGTTGCCTGGCTCTCTGCCACGCTGAGAAACCCAGAACTGGTTGAACTTCTCTAGCCCGGCTCCCTCGGCACCTGGCCGGTGCTGAGCCAGAGAATTGGCCAGACCAGAGGGGTCAATATTGTCTAGCAGCATGGCCAGGACTTTCACTGCTCGCTGAGCTGGGAGGAGACATTGGGGGTCAATTAGAGCAAAATAACCCACTGAACACAGAGCCAGGCCTGGCGGCTGTCGACAAACTTCATGGGACTGCGGGAAACTTGGCCGCGCCCATGCTAAGTGGACGCCTGCCGGCTAAAATCCTGCCAGACCAGGGAGGTGGCTGGGCCAGAGAGTGGCGGACTGGAGAGGTTCAAAGGGGACCCAATATTTGTTTCCTGTGTTGATCCCTGTAACCGGCCCCAAGCACCCCTGAGCTGTCTCCTCGTTACGGTCAGTAGCTTGAGCTCCACTGGTTCATTGTTTGCCTGCGTCTGCTCTGCCCCCCCTTACCCATGGAGCCAGGTCCGTCTTGCAGTTCAGCCCGCCCCAATTGCCTGCTCCCCCTTGTTGTGCCCCCACAGCTGGCAGGAGCCCCTTGGCTCTCTGCCACGGCGAGGCTGATTTACGCCACCCCAGAATCTGCCCCAAGTCGGTTGCCCCAGCCGCGCGGCCGGCCCACACTCGGCACTTTGAAGTGCCGGAGATCAGACGGGGCGCACAAGGTGTGCGTGGTCTGATAAGAAAGCGGCGCAGCGCCAGGGGCCCACAGCAAAGCCATGTTCATGCCCCCAGAGAAGGACCCAACCCCGGGGGTAGCTGGGTGCAGCCGTGCTGCCAGAGCTCTGCTCTTTGGCCGCGGGACCCAGCTCACGGTGGAACCAAGTAAGTGTCGGCAGCGTTCCCGCCTCGCATGGCGCAGGGCTAAGCGGTCCAGAGACCGGTGGCCGAGCAGAGGCTCCCAACCTCGTGCAAAGGGGCGGCTTTGAAACGTGCCGCCGCACAGCACTGTGCTCCAGCTTTCCCTGTCTGCTGGGAACTCAGGGGGGACGCCGATCAGGCCTCAGCTGGAGCATTGAGTCCCGTTCCGGGCGCCACGTTTCAGGGAAGATGTGCAGGAATTGGACAGGGTCCAGAGAAAACCAAGGGGGGGAAAGAAAGGTCTAAAAAACATGAGCTAGGAGCGACGGCTGGAAGAACTGGGTTTGTTGAGTTTGGAAAGGAGAAGACTGAGGGGGACACGAGAGCAGTTTTCAGGTGTCTAAAAGGGTGTCACGAGGAGGGAGAAAACTTGTTCATCTTGGCCTCTGAGGATAGAACAAGAAGCAAGGGGCTTAAACTGCAGCAAGGGAGGTTTAGGTTGGACATTGGAAAAAACTTCCTACCTGTCAGGGGGGTTAAACACTGGAATAAGTTGGGGTTGTGGCATCTCCATCCCTGGAGATATTTAAGAGCAGGTTGGACAGACGCCTGTCAGGGATGGGCTAGATGGTGCTGGGTCCTGCCGTGAGGGCAGAGGACCGGACTCCATGTCCCAGTGGTCTGTGATTCTTTGATCTGTTATGCAGCCATGTAAATAAGGATGCAGGAGCGTTAGGGTGAGGAACCGAAAGTCTGGCCCATGTGTTCATGCTGGGGCTTTCGAAAGGAGCCTAGGGGAGTTAGGGGCATGAGTCCCACTGATTTCAGCCTGCAGCTCTTAGAAAACCCCCCTGTTCAATGGAACCCTGACCCCAGTTGCTGTGGGGCGAGCTTGGGGTCTCTCAGCTGGCAGGGATGTTCCGTGGGGTTCACATTTCCAAAGCCAGCTAGCGGTAAATGGCCCTTGATATCGGTGGGAATTCGGTGCCCGCGGCTCTCCGCACATCCGCGAGGCAGCGCAGAGCAAACGCTAACTCCTCTCCGCGCGCTCCGGGCTGGAGACAGAGGGTCGGGATTTGGGGTGAGAGTTTCGCACTGTGCTGAGCACGGCCACGCTCACCTTCGGGAGAGGAACCAAACTCACCATTCAGCCAGGTGAGCGCGGGGGGGAGGTTGGAAAAAGCTTTTCACAGCCTGATAGCAAAGTCTGCGCTTTTGCAAGGTGCCCAAGGGACTTAGACACCCAGATCGCAGTGAATTTCGGGGGGACGCTGGTGCCTAAATCCTTTGGGTTCCATTGAAAATTCCAGCTTTGGGGGTAAATGTCCATTAATCCCTTACGCGCCAGAAGTCCCCACTGATGTTAACAGGATCGCCCGGGGCCACAGCGAGGAAAGTTCCCCAACTTGGCCTCTGACACCCCAGAACAGAGTCCCGCAGATCTGAGCGCCCTTTCGAAGCTGGTTTTTTGAAGAGCCTTTGCTCACCGTGGGCAAAGTGCTGTCTACTTAATATTTGGGAAAGGCACGAGGCTGGCCGTGGAACCGCGTAAGTAGCGCGGCTCCGCTGAAGGTTGCACCCGCCCCGCACCCCGCAGCGTTACTCTCGCCTGTTCCTTCCAACGGCAGGGAAAGAAAAGGGCAGGTTGGTCTGTTCTGGGGCTCCAGCGGGGAGCCAAAGAGCCTGTTTATGGAAAAACCGGATTTCTTTCCCTCTGTGAATTTCAGTTTTTCCTTGCCCCGGAGAAGCGCGCTCCTCGGGCTGCACAAAAGCCTGGCCCATGAAACATCGGGCAGCCAAAAAAAATTGACCCACTTTTATTAAAGTAAACGTCCCCCTAAAGTCCATGATGTCCAAAAAGTGCCCCTGCTTTGACCGCGCTCACATTCCTGCCTGTCGGGGGGTTAAACCCTGGAATAAATTGCCCAGGGGAGTTGTGGAATCTCCATCTCATGGACAGACGCCTGCCAGGGATGCTCCGGACCGTGCTTCTCAACCTTCTTTCATAAAGTATCTCTCTAAAAAAAAGTGGCAGCAGCAGTTGGAATCTCCATCGCTGGGGATATTGAAGAGCAGGATGGACAGACGCCTGCCAGGGATGCTCCGGACCGTGCTTCTCAACCTTCTTTCATAAAGTATCTCTCTAAAAAAAAGTGGCCGCAACAGTTTTTAGACAGAGAAATGGTTTTT